CTCAATCCATTAGAAAATCTGTGGTCAGACTTAAAGATTGCTGTTCACAAGTGCAAACCATCCAACTTGAAGGAGCTGGAGCAGTTTTGCAAAGAGGAATGGGCAAAAATCCCAGTGGTAATATGTGGCAAGCTCATATAGACTTATCCAAAGCGACTTGGAGCAGTGATTGCCGCAAAAGGTGGCTCTACAAAGTATTGACTTTAGGGGGGTGAATAGTTATGCACATTGACTTTTTCTGTTATTTTGTCCTATTTGTTGTTTGCTTCACAATGATGTTGTGGGCATCATAAATCTAATTAGGCTGCTCTGGACTTAGCAGGAGAGGTTTTCTTTAACTTTTAGGATTGGTGCAATGTGCAGGATCGTAACAGGGTTTGCTTTTATTCAGTGTACCCAAAGTTATTCCCCGCAAGGATAGGCACTACTTAACTGCATATTCGAGATTTAATGGTTAGAATTTGCTTTATCTGAGTGCAGCCGGGAGATATATTTATTTTCTAAGGTATCTGGTTCACTCAGTGGCGAGTCCGTGCTTTGTGCAGGTTTCATAGAGCACTGGCAGTCTCATACTTTCATTTCCTGTAAGTGGAGTTTTTGGCTATGTGTCACCACTATTGAGACATTGTTGCTACTAGGGGAAGAGAGGGTAACTTTATTTTTAACATTTTCTGTCCTCTGTCTTAAAAGCAAAATTTTTATGCATTAGCTCCTATGTAGTGATTAACCTACTCCCTTCTTTTGAGAGATTTAGTGGACATGCCACTTCACATTTATCCTAGCAATTAATAAAGGATTAATTCCACGATAGTAAGCACTGGTTATATGTGAGGGCATGATGTTTTAATTTTCCTCCAGCTTAGTGCTTATACATTTTTAAATTTAGGGTTCCCTTTAGTTTTACCTGAAGCTTTGTAATCATAGGCTATCCTATATATATTTTTGGTTCCTCTTTTTGGAACCCATTTAAACATGCATTGCAATTTTGGACACCAGCTTTTAGGAAGGGTATTGCAGTGCAGAGTAGAGCTACAGAACTAGAAGGAGGATGGAAAACAATAGTTATGAAGAGCCAGAAAAACTGAGAGGGGATACAATAGCACTATACAAATATATACAGGGTCTGTACTAACTGATATGTGCTTACCTGTTCATTAGCAGGAATAAACAGACAAGAGGTCACCATTTGAGACCGGAAAGTGTTTTTGCTTATTAAAAAAAAAAAAAAAGGCTTGGTTGTTTTTTTTTGCATAAACAAAATATTTCATATTAAGAATCCCCCCTCCCCCCCGCCTCCTCTTTGTGGCATTATTGGAAATGGCTACAACTGAGTTTTTTGCCTTTTTCGGGACCTAGTCGATTATGTATGTAACTTGTAATACACAATTTATTGATCAGAAATAGGGTGGTAGATGTCACCTTTTTGGACACCACTAAGAGCCGAGCACTAAGGCTGTGTTTTATGTGAGTTGGTACTCCTATTGCGTTTGTATATTTACCATATATTTACTGTTATTGCACGGATATAGTGCACTATGATGTTTTTTGTATGTATCTTTTTCTTTAAGAAGTTGACAGCAAAGCATGAGGCTGACCACTTAGAGGTCCTAGTGTGTTATATACCAGAGCCAAGTGATACTTTTATGGCTCATATTTGAGCACTATACATCATTTATCACAACAAAAATTAAATAAATAAGATTGATGCATCCGCATCAAATTCAAGTCAAATTGTTTTATCGGCATGCAGCAACATTATCACTAGATCACTAGATGACACTTGCATCATTCTAACATCATCGGTATAACTCTGACCTTTTATCTTAATTATTTGGCATCCTGTCTGGCACAAAGCGCATCTGCAAAACTGAAATAGTTATGATGCAAATACGTAGTCCAATTTAAAACACTTCTGACTGCCAGACAGTGCCGTTTCGTGGTGTCTAGGCCCTTAATCTCATTATTCGGACACATATTGCCATTTCACTGTTCCTGTTTGTGGAGTAAAAATTTCTCATACTTAATATATACCTATACATTTTCATTAACTATAGGATATATTAATATTGCAGAAAGATTTGTTACATAAAAGGTTAAGGTTTACATACACACAAAATCTTACACTACTGTCAATCTATTTGGAGCAGAGACTAAAGAATTGCATTATAATACATCATATAGTTTATTTTTGGTCAATGGAACAAGCAATTGGTGAACATCTACTTTTTGGGGAGAAGGTACATAGCATATAATCAGGACAAATGCAGCTAGAACTTGTAATTCATTCATACATTTATTCATTCATTCCACTACACAGATATCTGCTTGCCATTCCACATATAATTTCTTCTTGCAAGATTATTTACTTGTTATTTTTTTCATTCTGTTATTTGCATATAATCAATACACATATATTTCTCAATGTCACAATAATTACACAATGGGTCTTTGGGCATTGGGGTTATTTTAGTGAGCCTTTATTCACACCTTATCAGGTAGAACACTTAACTAAAACAGTATTATTGCTAACCATGCAACAGAACCTGCTAGAGAATAACCAGGGCCAGATGACCAGCAGTAAATGTCAATCATATATGAAGAGAGCCATAGTCGCCTAGATTGAAGGGCCAAAAACCAACCTGGCTTGTTCTTGACAGTGACTTTTCCTTGTCCATTGTTAGGATTGTGACAGACCCATCTGTATGGACTAGAATTGCTGTGTTCGTCTGTTTTGCCGTTTGTATGAATTTCCCCATTCGTATGCTTTGTTTAAGGGAATGTCTTTTTTTTGTCGAACGGAACTACCGAGCGGACGGCCACCCAGAAGAGAAGTGTGCTGCTGGTTAACCTATTGATCCCAATTAGAACGTTGCGGTTAACCACAGACACTTCTCAATTAAAACCGAATACCGGGTGGTCGCCGTTTGTATGTCGACCACGAGGCGGAGGCCATTTTGACTATGCGAAAGCACAGCGGTGTTAGACGATTATTTCATGGAGCTAAAAACGGACACTTTTTCAACCGAACACTGCTGAAGCCGTCGACCTCCCCTTCTCAATCGACAAAAGCATACGAATACCGGCCGTTCGGGAGATTTAATAACACGAATGGACTTAACCCAGATAGCCTTCCCATGGAGTCAATCGCATACTGAAGAACTGTGATAGACTTTGACTCTATGGCGATTGAACTATGCGTATGGGATCTGAGCGCTATTCACCAATAATATGCACTCAGATCCAGGCTATCTGGGGATGTGTTATACGAATGCAATACGTTCAGCAGTATTAAAGTTATGGATTTTAATGTGTTTTATAACTTTGAGTTAAAATGGCGATGTGCCTCTGCTCGGGAAGATAATTGAATTACTTCCCAATTATCTCCCGAGCAGAGGGGGGGAAACTGTGATGCATGCTGGGAATATTGTGGGGATGTATGTCCAGAATGTCCCCATGTCCTTCTGTCATTTCAGTCTCCCATTTGGTCCCCTAGGGGAGTGTCCACCAAGTGGGAGACCTGCATAAATACGGGCAGGTAGCCCACAGTAAACTCAGTTCGTGTTTTACCCTCAAAGCGGAGCTTGGTCTCGTTATTGGGCGGATTTTATTACCGGCGCCTAGAGACTGCTTATTGGAATTATCTGCCGCTTGGAAACTATTGCCGATCGGCTGCTATTAGCGATTCGTGCATTTAGAGCTCAAGAAGGGGAAGAGCTGTACAGGTACCGTTCGGGAGTTTGGAGTGTTCCCTAGCTGGCGGTTCGCATGGTTACACTGCATATGCTACCAGACCACATTATTGCGAACGGGGAGCATTTACTTAACGGCGGTTTGTGCATTTATTACTGGAGGTACCGTAACAAGGATGATTCAGTGTTCTTGTGTACCTGTGCCTGACTAAAACTTCTTATGGAAGACATCTGAAAGGCTGTAGGGTTTCTTTAATCAGGTGACTATCAATTTTGAATAATTTTAAAATAATTTTTATTAGGTATTTAATATTACAATAAAATAACAATTAGAGTTGAGCGGACACCTGAATGTTCGGGTCCGGTCGAACTTTGAAACTTGACCCCGAACCCGAACCCCATTGAAGTCAATGGGGACCTGAACTTTTGGGCACAAAAATGCCTCTAAAAAACCTCCTGGAAAGGGCTAGAGAGCTGCAAAAGGAAGTTAAATGGGGGTAAGAGTAGGACAAGTGCCCTGTAAACAAATGTGGATAGAGAAATCACTTAAAATAACATAAAAATTAAAAATACAGCTAGGCCATAAAATAGCACTGCATGGAATCTTTTGGATTTAGCTTTGGAAAAATATAAATCAAAATCTAAAGCATGGCTGTCAGGAATTATCCATTTGAGAGACGGTTGGAGTGCAGGGTATTCTCTTTCATTGTTCAAACTGAACTCAACTCCTGATGCATGGAGAAAAGGCCTTCACAAGCCTCTGCTATTGTGTACATAGTTTATACTAAGTGACCCATATGTTACGGAGGAGGTGACCGTGGCGGTGTAGGTGGAAGCGGCGGTGGAGGAGGAGGATGAAGTAGCCAACACTGTTTTTTTTTAATTTTTTTATTGTGGTAGCCCCCAAAATATTGGGACATATAAAAAAGAAACATTTGCGGCCTGCGGTGCATTTCTTGCAGTCCTGATGCATGGAGAAAAGGCCTTCACAAGCCTCTGCTAATGTGTACCTAGTTTATACTAAGTGACCCATAGGTTGAGGAGGCGGTGACCGTGGTGGTGTAGATGGAAGCAGCGGTGGAGGAGGAGGATGAGGTAGCCAACACAGTTTTTTATGGTTTTTGTTTTTTATTGTGGTAGCCCACAAAATATTGGGACATACAAAAAAAGAAACATTTGCGGCCTGCGGTGCATTTCTTGCAGTCCTGATGCATGGAGAAATGCTCAACTCCTGATGCATGGAGAAAAGGCCTTCACAAGCCTCTGCTAATGTGTACCTAGTCTATACTAAGTGACCCATAGGTTGAGGAGGCAGTGACCGTGGCAGTGGAGGAGGAGGATGAGGTAGCCAACACTATTTTTATATATATATATATATTTTAATTGGGGTAGCCCCCAAAATATTGGGACATATATAAAAAGACAACTCTGTTCCGCAGAGTAGCTGTTGAAATTATAGTTGTGCAGGCACTTTATTGACTCTAGAGAACCTCGGGCCAATGGTACATCCCCGTGGCAGCGACTTTGCATGCGGATGTCATCCATATCAACTTTCGATGCCAATTTCTGCGCCTACCATGGTGACCACGGGTAACAGGGAATCGGGGTTCCATTCCGTACAGGGACCCTGAGAAACGGCTACCACATGCAAGGAAGGCAGCAGGCGCGCAAATGACCCACTCCCGACGCGGGAAGGTAGTGACAACAAATAACAATACAGGACTCTTTAGAGGCCCTGTAATTGTAATGAGTCCACTTGAAATCCTTTAACTCTGATCAATTGGAGGGAAGTCTGGTGCAGAGCCACTGACCCGTGCGTGCTGCAGCTGAAACTCCACTATCGCCTGCTGCTACTCGCACAGTCTCATGAGAGGGTGAGCGGGAAGGCTGAAGTTACTATGCAGCGCAGACTGACGAGCAGCAGCAGGGTGACAACGCCCAAAGCGTGCACAGCCGCTACAGTGAATGTCACATCCTGTTCCAAGTTGCGGATCAGTCTGATGATGGCTTCTGGTATCCAGTACTCTTTTTACTGAAGCTGCATCAGGGTCCTGGTATGTGGCCACACAAACGCTGGTGCTCAACACCAGGGGGCGTGCGGTTACCCTGCACCAGACCCTGCTAATCCATTCCACACTGTGACTCCTAACTTCAAAATCAGGCATACTGGGTCCTAGTCGTCCGACCGCCGCCCAGACAGTGTCTGGGTTCTGGTCACCGGACTGCCCACCTCACTGTGAAACTACAAATGGATCGTTAGTTCGGGTTCGTGAAAACTCTATTATGGATCCTTTGATCACTACATGTATTACTTGGATAACTGGTAATTCTCGAGCTAATAGATGCCGACGAGCGCTAGGGGACGGCCGCTCCGCTTTTGCACTCTGCTCCCTCTTATGCTGTGCTGGTGCCTCTGTGCGACCAGCGACTCTTCCTCCAAACTGCACACGTCACTCGCATGACCTTGATTCCATGTGGGGTCTAGGACCTCATCATCCTGCACATCATCTTCCACCCACTCCTCAACCCTGCCCTCCTTGCCGGTATGCAAACTGCAGAAAGCCACAGCATTTGGCACCTGTGTTTTTCCAGCATGTAGTCTGCAAAGGACATATGGAAATTGTTTTAGAATTGTATCCAGGCAACAGTTTTCCCTATAAACTGACCTCTCAGTTTGACTTGTGAGGGTATTGCCCCAGAATTACAATATTGTTGAAGTACCTCTTAGCTATTGATCACTGGTTTTAATATTGCAGCTTTTTTTATCTGGTAGTTTCTAGTGTAGAAAATATCAATCTGTTTTCTATCACTTAGATCTGTGTAACAAGTGTTGTAGGTGTGAAACATTATTACAAATGACCGATGTAGTAAATTCGAAACAAATATCCATTTGCAAAAAAAATTCTCGCCCATCTTCTGTGGGTTATTGCATTTTTAAGATGTAGACTTATTGTATCACACTAGCCATGCACAGGTAGATTGTCTGGCACGTTGTTTTGATGTTTGGTTTTTAACTTTGTAGTTGTGTCTTTACACAATATAGAAATGTATATTAATGCTTCTGTATATGAAGCGATCACAATAACACTTATTTTTCACTTTTTAATAAAAAAAAATTCAGGCTACACAAAAATTGGTAATTCACAATATGACATCTGAAAAGCACATGAAAGGATGCTGTATGATTTAAAAAAAAAAAAAAAAAGAACACAAAACATGAAGGTCCTGTTCAGTAGAGTGTAGTCATGAATGTAACCAGTAAAACTTTGTTGTTTACAGCCACTGGTTGGCCCATACATATTTTAAAACTTGTTTAATTTTGTTGTAGCATGACTTGTATATATGAAGAGCAGGCCCCAAAATGTACTATTTAGCAGATTAGCACCCAGAAAATTAGAATTTTTACAAGTGCGCTGTAAACACACTATTAGACGCTTCTATTTGACTCTTAGATATGAAGTGCACCACACTAAAATACTATTTAGCAGATTAGCACCCAAAACATTTTAAGTTTTAAAACTGCAATGTGACAGCGGTATTTGACACTTCTATTTGACTCTCACATATGAAGTGCACCGCAAGTCGCAAATGTACTATTTAGCAGATTAGCACCCAGAAAATTAGAATTTTTACAAGTGAGCTGTAAGCTCACTATTAGACACTTCTATTTGACTCTCACATATGAAGTGCAGTCCACAAATGTACTATTTAGCAGTTTAGCACCAAAAACAATTAGAATGTTTACAATTGCGCTGTAACCGCAGTATTAGATGCTTCTATTTGACTCTCAGATATGAAGTGCATGCCCCAAAATGTACTTTTTAGCACTTTAGCACCAAAACAATTAGAATGTTTACAACTGCGCAGTAAGCGCACTGTTAGACACTTCTATTTGACTCTCAGATATGAAGTGCACCGCAGGCCCCAAAATGCACTATTTAGCAGATTAGCAGCAAAACAATTAGAATGTTTACAACTGTGCAGTAAACACACTATTAGACGCTTCTATTTGACTCTCAGATATGAAGTGCAGTCCACAAATATACTATTTAGCAGTGTAGCACCAAAACAATTAGAATGTTTACAATTGCGCTGTAACCGCAGTATTAGATGCTTCTATTTGACTCTCAGATATGAAGTGCACGCCCAAATTTACTATTTAGCAGTTTAGCACTAGTGATGTCGCGAACACGAAATTTTCGGTTCGCGAATGGCGAACGCAAACTTCCGCAAATGTTCGCGAACCGGGCGAACCGCCATAGACTTCAATGGGCAGGCGAATTTTAAAACACACAGGGACTCTTTCTGGCCACAATAGTGATGGAAAAAGTTGTTTCAAGGGGACTAACACCTGGACTGTGGCATGCCGGAGGGGGATCCATGGCAAAACTCCCATGGAAAATTACACAGTTGATGCAGAGTCTGGTCTTAATCCATAAAGGGCAGAAATCACCTAACATTCCTAAATCACAATGTATATGGATTGACACCTGACATATGACATACTGACACCTTGACATATGGATTCACACCTGTCCTCAGAGACCCTGATACACACTGACACAGAGCAGAATAGGGACTGTTCCCCCTACATAGGGTCACTTGGCAGATATGAATTGACACCCATCCTCAGGATCCCTGATACACACTGACACAGAGCAGAATAGGGACTGTTCCCCCTACATAGGGTCACTTGGCAGATATGGATTGACACCCATCCTCAGGATCCCTGATACACACTGACACAGAGCAGAATAGGGACTGTTCCCCCTACATAGGGTCACTTGGCAGATATGGATTGACACCTATCCTCAGGATCCCTGATACACACTGACACAGAGCAGAATAGGGACTGTTCCCCCTACATAGGGTCACTTGGCAGATATGGATTTACACCTATCCTCAGGATCCCTGATACACACTGACAAAGAGCAGAATAGGGACTGTTCCCCCTACATAGGGTCACTTGGCAGATATGGATTGACACCTATCCCAAGGATCCCTGATAAACACTGACACAGAGCAGAATAGGGACTGTTCCCCCTACATAGGGTCACTTGGCAGATATGGATTGACACCTATCCTAAGGATCCCTGATACACACTGACACAGAGCAGAATAGGGACTGTTCCCCCTACATAGGGTCACTTGACAGATATGGATTGACACCTATCCTAAGGATCCCTGATAAACACTGACACAGAGCAGAATAGGGACTGTTCCCCCTACATAGGGTCACTTGGCAGGTATGGATTGACACCTATCCTCAGGATCCCTTATACACACTGACACGGAGCAGAATAGGGACTGTTCCCCCTACATAGGGTCACTTGACAGATATGGATTGACACCTATCCTAAGGATCCCTATACACACCGACACGAGAATAGGGTCTGTTCCCCCTAAAAAGGCTCACTTGGCAGATTTGGATTGACACCTATCCTCAGGATCCCTGATACACACTGACACAGAGCAGAATAGGGACTATTCCCCCTACATAGGCTCACTTGGCAGATATGGATTGACACCTATCCTAAGGATCCCTGATAAACACCGACACAGAGCAGAATAGGGACTGTTCCCCCTACATAGGGTCATTTGGCAGGTATGGATTGACACCTATCCTAAGGATCCCTGATACACACTGACACAGAGCAGAATAGGTACTGTTCCCCCTACATAGGGTCACTTGGCAGATATGGATTGACACCTATCCCAAGGATCCCTGATACACACTGACACAGAGCAGAATAGGGACTGTTCCCCCTACATAGGGTCACTTGGCAGGTATGGATTGACACCTATCCTCAGGATCCCTGATACACACCGACACAGAGCAGAATAGGGACTGTTCCCCCTACATAGGGTCACTTGGCAGGTATGGATTGACACCTATCCTAAGGATCCCTGATACACACCGACACAGAGCAGAATAGGGACTGTTCCCCCTACATAGGGTCACTTGGCAGATATGGATTGACACCTATCCTCAGGATTCCTGATACACACTGACACAGAGCAGAATAGGGACTGTTCCCCCTACATAGGGTCACTTGGCAGATATGGATTGACACCCATCCTCAGGATCCCTGATACACACTGACACAGAGCAGAATAGGGACTGTTCCCCCTACATAGGGTCACTTGGCAGATATGGATTGACACCTATCCTAAGGATCCCTGATACACACTGACACAGAGCAGAATAGGGAATATTAACTAAATGCCAAACATTGTTATACAGGGGAATATTCAGTAAATAAGGATAAGGGGTGTCAGGGTATTTATATCGGCAGACATTTTGTGCTATGATAGAAACTAAAAGTGTATATTCTGAGTCACTCTGAACAGACCAGACTCCATTTTGTTATTTTCAAGTTAACAAAAAGACACAAGATTTCTTTCTGTAAGACTAGCCACTTTGCCAGAGCTAAAAGGAATGCATAGTATAAACAAGTGATAAGAAGAATATAATCAATTCTAAACCCAGACAATTGTGACAGAGAAGATTAAATAATACAATTTAACTGTCTATACATATAAAGTCCCATTGTAAGTTACGGGTCAAAACTCAGATTGCTAGACACATAGTCTGAACAAAACTTAAATAAACCCTTTGATCTGTGAAGGATACGTAAGTTATGGCCACTATCTAGATAGG